GTGCATTATTACAGTCCTATGGTAGAAATCTCCCATCATAGTATGATGCACATATGGTTTGATGCAGTATATCAAGTGTGTAGCAACACTTGTACTGATATAGAGACTATTCTTCAATGCTTTTCATTGCTCTGGAACGAAAGAGGAAGACTTTGCGTTTTAGTGTATCTCTGCTGTGTGGTCTGATGATAAAATAGAAACATCGACATGTTTTAAACTCTACACACGCGGCTGCTGCGTACATTCACACGAGGCGTCCTTGACGGAGGGCGTTTCTGAAGCTTGGCGTTGACGCGACCGTCATAGTGACAACAGCCAATCACATTACGTTTCTGGTGTTGCATCAACCAATCAGATCGCCTTATGCAAATACCCTAGCTCAGACGCTAGCCAATCGCCTTCATGCAACACCAGACGACTGATGTGATTGGCTGTTGTTGTTCACATCAGTCACGTGACCCGTTCAGCACACAGCCCATCAAATCACATGATCATGGAAACAGGTGTTTCCTTCAAAATAAAAGCCAGCGTGTTTAATAAGTTAATTATTAAATGCATTTGTGGATTATTAAATAAATAGTTCACAAGATTATGTCAGTCGCTGAACATCATACAATATTAGGTTGATCTTCTGACAGCTCAATCTGCTTTGAATGAACTTCCAGTAGAGGACTATAATCACCAATCATATACTTTGGGAGGCAACAAATATTCCCAGACTGTGTGTGTGTGTGTGTGTGTGATACTTTTAGTTTTGTTTCTACTTAAATGTGTAGTTAGTCTCACTATATATGCTGTGGCTTACAAACAGCTGACATTTGAAGAGAAGACTCTTACAGAACCATGTAAGTTTGCATGCTTCTCAATAGGCTATAAACATTTTAATATAAATATAAAGCTTAAATATAAAGTTGTTTCTGTGTTCTATACCAATTTTGTTTCTCTGGAAAACTAAACCTGTAAGTGATGTGGAGAGGAGTCAGTGTGTTTATGCTTAATTTATTTATTACTGCAATTATGATGATTATGATGATGTTTATTAGTGCACTGTGAAGATTATGGTTGGTTTATCTTAAAGTAGGTCATCTTGCTGCCTTAAAATTAACACAAAGAAAAAGACTGGTTTGATCAACAGAAACTCCCATCTGAATTAATTTGACAAAAAGAAAAAAAGCTGTGATAAATCATTAAAATAATCTCTTACAGTGTGGGGTTATTAAATAATACTTTGCTTTGACGGATAATTTTAAGTCTTGTTGGTCTAATTTAATAAAATGATGACATTTCCACAGAGAACTGTGAACTTAAATTAGGTTAATTGTATACTGATGTGTAAAATTCATCTTAATTTTCAATTTAATTTGATGCATTCTGTGATTTGTTGATCGGACCAGTGCTGTTACTAATCAAACTAGTTTAAGTGATGTTTAAGAGTTTATAGAAGTTGTGATGGTGTTTTTTGTGGTTATTATGCCGAAGAGAACATATGTAGACTGTGTAAATATTGTACCAGTCCTAGAATTAATTAATGTTCTTATTATTTTAATTATTAATTAATTATTTTACATTTATTTTTAATCATTTATCCTCTTCAGTTAATATCAATAACCAGCATAGCACTTGTTCACGTTAAACGTAACTATTTTAGCATGCAAATATAACAAACAAGTCACAAATGACGGCATTAGTGCTCAATGAAAGCAACAGTTCATGCATCCACCTAATCACAAGCTCCTGTAACCACAAACACGTCAGTGCAACACATTCTTTTCAATGCTAAACAACTTTTATCATGCATGGATCAACGTGCGTCAAACATTCAGATAAAGTGAAAGTTATTAGTCTCAGGAAAGCATTGACCTGTATCTGTCAAATAAAGCAGCTCCTCTGTGTTCTCCACAGGTTCAACTGCTTGTGCATTCTGCTGCTTTTGTGCCTTTTCAAAAACAGCGGTCAGTATACAGTCGTTCTTGTTGACAAATTATAACCATTCTTGGTTTTCAGCATCAGCTGGAGTTAATCTAGTTGATTGTTTCTTTGTTGCATCACTCGGTCAAGTGACTTTGTTTGACATTCTTTAGCATATTGTGATCACACACTATTTATTCACAGGAACTCAGTACAACTGCACTTGTACATCTGCTACAGCTTTATCCCACTGTCATCAACATCTGTAATGTCAAAACATGCATGGCACTACTAATATTGTTGGCTCCTGAATGCCTTTATTTATATATTTCTTAATCCAGTTGACTAAAATACCTCTGCTAGAACATATGTGACCCTGGAGCACAAAAGCAGTCTTAAGTCGCTGGGGTATATTTGTAGCAATAGCCAACAATACATTGTATGGGTCAAAATTATTGATTTTTCTTTTATGCCAAAAATCATTAGGATATTAAGTAAAGATCATGTTCCATGAAGATATTTTGTAAACTTCCTACTGTAAATATATCAAAACTTAATTTTTGATTAGTAATATGCAGTGCTAAGAACTTCATTTGGACAACTTTAAAGATGATTTTCTCAATACTTAGATTTTTTTGCACCCTCAGATTCCAGATTTTCAAATAGTTGTATCTCAGCCAAATATTGTCCGATCATAACAAACCATACATCAATGGAAAGATTATTTATGCAGCTTTCAGCTGATGTATAAATCTCAATTTCGTAAAATTGACCCTTATGACTGGTTTTGTGCTCCAGGATCACATTTTATGATGACGATTACAGAGAATAGAGAGAAAGACCACATGTACTTTTCAGTACTGAATGCATATTATACTCTTTTTTTTTTTTTTTTTTTTGCAGAAACCTCCCCAACACTTAAGGTAGGGATAAAAGGAGGCAACGTCACACTGCCATGTCAATATGATGGCAGTGAGATTCCTGAAATTGATTTGAGTGGGTCAGAAAACATCCCCGTCTGTCAGACTGAAGAGTGTAGTTGCAGAGTGTGTAAGAAAGGAGCCTGTGACGTCGTCATCAAGGACCTGAGCTTCAGTGATGCTGGGACGTACAATTTGAGAGTCTATTATCGCAATGATCAGACAGAGCTGGAGCAACAAATCAGGACGTACCAACTTTGTGTCGATGGTAAAGTCAAAACTGGTCAAATTATCAGCATGCTTTCTGGTTTTCTTTGAGTAATTGTGTTGATGTTGCATCTAAGAGACCCTGAATGGATATGGGTTTTCCTATCGCTGATTTTTAAATGTGACCCAGGACCACAAAACCAGTCATAAGGGTCAATTTTGTGAAATTGAGATTTATGCATCATCTGAAAGCTGAATAAATAAGCTTTCCATTGATGTATGGTTTGTTAGGATAGAACAATATTTGAAAATCTGGAATCTGAGGGTGCAAAAAAATCTAAATATTGAGAAAATCATCTTTAAAGTTGTCCAAATGAAGTTCTTAGCAATGCATATTACTAATCAAAAATTAAGTTTTGATATATTTACAGTAGGAAATTTACAAAATATCTTCATGGAACATGATCTTTACTTAATACCATAATGATTTTTGGCATAAAAGAAAAATCAATAATGTATTGTTGGCTATTGCTACAAATATACCCCCAGCGACTTAAGACTGCTTTTGTGCTCCAGGGTCACAAATGATTATATTTGTCCCTCTAGTCCTAAATATTTGCTTATGGCTTCAATTGATCATAATAATGATTAATGTCTTTGTGTTTCTCCTCAGATGAGGTTTCTGTGAAAACAGGTGAGGAGCTGAAGTTGGATGTTCTGTTGTCAAACACTGATAAAGTGCAGCATCAGAGCAGAAGAAGCACAGGTTGGAGAGATGATTGGAGCAGAACTGATGGAGTTCAGAGCGAACGAATCACCATTAGTGATGGAAACCTGATCATTAATGAGTTTACACCCAGAGACGCAGGAACATACAGAGTTCTGGACCCTGAAGGAGAAATCTTGATCACAGTGAAAGTCAGAGGTGAGAGAAACTCTGTTTAAATCCACTTGCACAAAAACCTATGGCATAATTTACTTTGGCCATACAACAATATTCCAATGTAATGGAACCATAAAATCACATTATGCCTAAAGAAAATGTGTACAAAATTCCCTCGTGTTAAAAGTATGCACGGAGTCCACATACACACAGAGACTTACAAACAGGCCTAACTGCAATATGAAAGAAATCAAAGCAGCCTAAGCCTATAGGCTGATTAAAATTCACTTTTCAAAGTCACGATTTCTGCCAACTCGATCTATTGAAGTTCAAGTTCTATGTTTTACACAACTGCAGTTTTTACACGTAGAGAATGAACTCAGAAGGACCAGCAAACATGCTTTATTGCACATTAGCTACTATATATTATCTAAAGAAGCATTATTATGTCCATATAAGCTGAGTTAAAAAAATAAATAATGTCATGTTTTATGGCACATAAAGCTTGATTAAATAAAAATGTCTTCAATGTTAAACGTGTCTGAGAATTGTGATAAATAAACAACAGTAAAACAAAGAAATTATGTGTTTGTGCATTTTCTGTCAGAAAACCTGATCGTTAGCAATGCTTAACCTCTTCAAAAAAATGGTTTCACATCATTTAGTGCATTAAGATGATGCAACTAAAGCTAGATAGATAGATAGATAGATAGATACTAAATCTAATATAATGAAAACATTAGTAAGAATGAATGCTTATGGCACAAATTTGAAAATCATGACCATTTCCGCCGACTGGTGGTTTTGGCGCGTTACTGCAGCCGCTCCTCCCGGAACTTCCGTGCCGTCCGTTGGAAATATAAATATTATCATGGCGTCCGTGACTTTTCGCGACTGTTTCCTCTGCGTTTCTGCTTTAATTACCTTCGTGTCCGTGTTTGTGACCGGTGCAGACTTTGTTCGCTTCGTGTCGTTTCGTGCCATCTATCACAACCTGAGCGGAGCCGCGCCTCTGTGTCGAGGTAAGAGCGTCAAACAACACAGACACTGAAGTTCTGTGCCGTCCGTTGGAAATATAAATATTGTCATGGCGTCCGTGACTTTTCGCGACTGTTTCCTCTGCGTTTCTGCTTTAATTACCTTCGTGTCCGTGTTTGTGACCGGTGCAGACTTTGTTCGCTTCGTGTCGTTTCGTGCCATCTATCACAACCTGAGCGGAGCCGCGCCTCTGTGTCGAGGTAAGAGCGTCAAACAACACAGAAACTCTTGAAAGTTTAATCATAAAGAAGTTATGCATAAATATTAATATGCTGTTTCTGAACCCATGTGCACATAAATATATTAATGAGTCGTCTTTATTTTTACTTGACTTATATTCGCTCTGTAATAAGTCGTAAGGCTGTTCTAAGCTTTTAGTTTCTCGGTAGCTTCGGTTTTAATCTGCCTTTTTAAAAAAGGTTGATTTTAAATGCAATTTACTTAGATTTATTTTTATATTATTTTATTTCATCATGCATTTGTAGCAAGTTATTAAATTGCGTACATGTTAACGAAGGTCAGGAAATACACGCACGCATGTACGTCATTACGGCATGCGTGCGTGCGTGCGTGCGTGCGTACGTACAGCCCGGCTAGCTCAGTCGGTAGAGCATGAGACTCTTAATCTCAGGGTCGTGGGTTCGAGCCCCACGTTGGGCGGAAAGTTTTTATCGTGTTTTCTGTCTGTATTTTCTCAGACTCTGTGCCCTGGTCTGTGGCTCTGCGGGACGGGGTGGTTCTGAAGGCGGTAGCTGTGGATGTTTTCCTTCTGGTCCTCTTCAGTCTCCAGCACAGTCTGCTGGCCTGGACTCCAGTTAAGCAAGTCTGTCAGAATGTGTTTGGGGTTTTATCCAGATCCGTGTACTGCTTCACCACCGCCGTAGCACTGCAGGTATATCTATGTTAATGCACTGTGCTGTATATATTAGTGCTGGGCGGTATACCGGTTCATACAGAATACCGGTGTTTATTTTTGTTATGATATGAATTTTTAAAATACCGTGATACCGGTGTATGTCGCTTAAACAACGTTAGGAACGCGACACTGTTTGAAAGGGATCCCTTTTCACTGTTGCACTGTGGTGAGAGAACAGCTGTATGTGTTACTAAGCGTGAAAGTTCAGAAACTGAAGCTGTAGAACTAATAGAACGTGATGACACAGAAGAACTCATCCACAATATCCACATTGACCGCCACAAATATCCACCGCCCGCTGCCATCAGCTCCCGCGTCTCACACACACGAGCGCGACTTTAGCACTAGATTTAGCAACTTTCACACCCTTTTAGCGGCTTTTTTCCATAGAATATTCATACTGACAAACCTAGCGACGAAAAAAAAAATACCGTCATGTACCGTGAAACCGGTATAATTTTGAAAAATACCGTGATATAAATTTTTGGTCATACCGCCCAGCACTAGTATATATTGTAAACTGCCTGATTTTCTTAAAAACTAGTATGTGAAACAGTATGCAACAATAAACGTTTCTGACATTAGTATGCTGCATTGTTGTCACATGACTGCATTATAGGCATATTTAGTTCTGCAAGTGGTGTACAGTTATAATAATAGAAATAAATGGAGCTATTTTGCTTTTTTTTTTTGCTTTTGTTACATTTTTTTTTTACTCGCTATAGTACTGTACATTTAGATTTATTTTATTTTAAAATAATTTACTAATTTTTATTTTTAATGTAATCAAATTTATGATTTAAATAAAACATTATTTAGTAATGTAGTCCATTATTTTTATTTTAATCACATTTATTTTTTATTTAAATATGTTATGTATTATTTTAATCAATTATGTATTAATTTATACAAAAGTTATTTATAATGTATGTATAGTTATATATTGTTTAATTCAAAACTTTAAAAAAAAATGTAAATTATTAATTTTATTTAATGTTTTTCTTTCTTTTTTCCACACTGTTTTTCTCTAAACTTTTCCACATATCCTCCTAGCACTCTCTTGAAAACCCCTTTTCTAACAAACCAACCCTGTAAAACTCTACGAAACATTTTTAATTAAATAACTTGGCAATTCATTTAATAACACAAACCATAACTATAAATTCTGCTCTAACTGTAATCTTAATCTCCGTGTAGATATTGATGCACTACTGGCAGCCGATCACCAGCGCCCCCTGCCTGTGGTCAGTGCGCGATGCACCCTGGGATATCTGGTTCCCGCTCATCTGTTTTATTTTACACTTCCTGTGCTGGGCCATAATCTGCAGCATCCTGCTCATCTTCGACTATCCAGAACTACTGGGCATCAAACAGGTACATATGCATCTACAATAAGCATTTAGAACAACAAAAGTGATATTTTCACATCATATTTGATATGCACATTTCTAAGGCCTCTAAATGTTCAAAACTTTGCTGTTAAACCTGTTGCACACAATCTACTACATGTCTTCTGTCATTTTTAACCAGTCAAAGCTCTTTTAGTATAATTGTACAAACATCCAGCTTCAGCTGCTGCGTCTCGTGTCAAATCTTGACTGATTTTTATCAAGTAAGCGTCAGAATAATTGCAGTAATATCTCCAGATGAACACTTACTGGACTGAAGCAGCTCAGCTTTACTTGATTCTCCATCAATCATGTTTTAGAGTCTCAAATCTGATCCTCAGGATCTTTTGAGGAGCGTTTGTTTCCAGAAGCTTTACTTTCACTGTTCCTCAGCGGAGGAATGATCTTCACAAGCCTCCAGAACATCTCACATCTTCTGAGGAGACTTTCTTCATCTCTCAATCATTGCATTGCATTGCATTATATGTTTGGATCATTAAAATCTCATCTGACATATTATTGGAGATACAGAGTGACAATATGATTTTCAGTTACAATAATTAATCCTAAAATTCTACATTAGTTACTTACTTTTAGCAGCATCAGACGCGCGCGCGCGCTCACAAGATCTCCCAGTTCTTACATGTGAATTCGGATCATGTGAATCAGTGAGTTGTTGACTCGAGAACAGCTGCAATCGGATCATTCTAATTCGTGAATGAATCGTTTGGTGCGATTTGCGAACCGATTTAACGGGTTCATTGAAAAGAATCGGTTCGTTCATGAATCAGACACCGCTTCTGCGTCTCGGAGCATGTGATATATTATAAGGAGTAACGATAAGTTTTATGAAATGTAGTGAAGTAAAAAGTACGATCTTATGCTTTGGAATGTAGTGAAGTAAAAGTTACTCAAAATAAAACTACTCCAGTAAAGTACAGATACTTGAAAAATGTACTTAAGTACAGTAACGAAATTAAACTACTTTGTTACTGTCAGTATCTAAGCATCAGAATTTCATCATATAAATATCAGCATATGCACCAAATTGCATATTTTGCACTTAATATTTCATATTGCATTTTTCACCAATTTGCACATTTGTAAATCATCTCTCCTCTGTGATTCTCAGGTGTATTATGAGTGTCTGGGTCTGGGCGACCCTCTCCTGCTGAAGTCTGAGCGCGCGCAGCGGCTCTATGCTCACCTCAGGCATCCCGTCTGTGTGGAGCTGCTCACGGTGCTCTGGCTCCTCCCCACGTTCCCGCTGGACCGGCTCCTGCTGGCTGTGTACCTGTCCGTTTACCTGATCCTCGCTCACTCGCTGGACACCCAGGACTGCACTTACCTGCGCCGCCAGCTGCGCAGCAAGCTTCAGCTCTTCTCCGCACCACTAGAGGGCAGCGATCAGAGCAACAACACTCATAAGACAGACTGAATGATGATAGGCATGGTCAAATAAGAGTGTAATGCTGCCTTCAAGTTGTTACCTAGAAAACCAGAAGTCACTAAACTATGTTTGGACATTTTCATATTTCTTTCCACTCAAAAAGTCAGGAAGATTTTACCACTAGTGCAACCGAATGAACAAGAAGTGATGCAAATGTAGTGTGTAACGGAGGCTTTATCTGTGCATTTCATCATTTATGTGCTGCTACAGAGAATGATGGGAAATGTACAGTAGTTTTGTTGCACAAGCCTCTTGCCTCAAAAACCAACTATATTGTAGTTCTTCACCAGTACACAAATGCACACAAACTAAATTGTGCTGTTAACAGTTAAAACTTCTTATAATCAAAAAAACAATTTGCTTGCACCTTGATTCTTTAATTGTCCTGACACTTTTTGACTTTGGGTGGCATAAATATGGTCATACTGATGTGACTTGAAGGCAGCATTACAATTAAAGCTATATTTGGAATGAAATACTAGAATACTGCACAATATACACTATAAACTTTCCAAAATAGTGCAACCGAATGAACAATAAGTGATGCAAATGTAGTGTGTGTAACTGAGGCTTTATCTGTGCATTTCATCATTTATGTGCTGCTTCAGAGAATGATGAGAAATGTACAGTAGTTTTGTTGCACAAGCCTCTTGCCTCAAAAACCAACTATATTGTAGTTCTTCACCAGTACACAAATGCACACAAACTAAATTGTGCTGTTAACAGTTAAAACTTCTTATAATCAAAAAAACAATTTGCTTGCACCTTGATTCTTTAATTGTCCTGACACTTTTTGACTTTGGGTGGCATAAATATGGTCATACTGATGTGACTTGAAGGCAGCATTACAATTAAAGCTATATTTGGAATGAAATACTAGAATACTGCACAATATACACTATAAACTTTCCAAAATATATATTTTTAAGTACTTTAAAAAGAAACATTATTTGCATGCATCAATTGCAAATGCAAAATGTGATGACAAATGCAGCATATTGCATTTCTAATCATTACTATGCATTTTTAATGGTGAAACGAAGCTTTTTGAATCATTTGAACCAATTGCTTTGCAAAATGATTCACATTTTTCCAGAGCGCTCAAAACAACTCGCGTAAACGCAAAGAAAACTACGGCCAAAACTACGGTGTTTTATGCATAAAACACCTTTTCTAAACCAGTTGCAAACTGCAGTCTAAATGCAATTAACAAATCAAATATCTCTCTATATAGTACAATTTTATTATGTGTTTTTAAAAAATGTTTTAATTGATCTGAGATCAGGTAAAAACCATATAGACACTGGTTCATGTGAACCTGACATTCTGAAATGTTTTGAAACGGTTACGATGTAACGAAGCCTCGTTTACTGAAATCGAGACTTTAGCTGTTTGATATGTGCTGGTTCAAAACACATGATTCACAAAGGTTTCAAACCTTCAAACAACAGCGTTTCAAAAACGCCCATCAATTAAATGCTTAATTCAGCAAGTGTTGGCCACTTATCTCGGATGTTTAATAAGTTTATTGTGTATTTTTGAGCAGTATGACAGTATGCCACTCCAAAATCTGCCAGTATTTAAAGTCTTCATCCTTTATGTTCATTTTTTCTATCTATAGTGTTTACTTTAACCTTCAACAAATTAGCATTTACCTGCCATCATCAAGGCAAGTTAGGTCGGGAAAAAATCACATTTTTCCAGAGCGCTCAAAACAACTCGCATAAACGCAAAGAAAACTACGGCCAAATATGCATAAAACACCTTTTCTAAACCAGTTGCAAACTGCAGTCTAAATGCAATTAACAAATCAAATATCTCTCTATATAGTACAATTTTATTATGTGTTTTTAAAAAATGTTTTAATTGATCTGAGATCAGGTAAAAACCATATAGACACTGGTTCATGTGAACCTGACATTCTGAAATGTTTTGAAACGGTTACGATGTAACGAAGCCTCGTTTACTGAAATCGAGACTTTAGCTGTTTGATATGTGCTGGTTCAAAACACATGATTCACAAAGGTTTCAAACCTTCAAACAACAGCGTTTCAAAAACGCCCATCAATTAAATGCTTAATTCAGCAAGTGTTGGCCACTTATCTCGGATGTTTAATAAGTTTATTGTGTATTTTTGAGCAGTATGACAGTATGCCACTCCAAAATCTGCCAGTATTTAAAGTCTTCATCCTTTATGTTCATTTTTTCTATCTATAGTGTTTACTTTAACCTTCAACAAATTAGCATTTACCTGCCATCATCAAGGCAAGTTAGGTCGGGAAAAAATGACAGATTGGAGGAAGTTATTTTGGTCTTTTGTTTCTGCTTTTATGAAGACTTTTGTACAACCGCCGTTTTGCATCTTACTGCATGTTTTTATATAATACTTTTATTTTTGCATCGCACAACCAAGAAGTGAGCAGGTGATGGGATAACTACTGCGTTATGTACTGAGCTCCTGTGTTTTTCGCGATTCAGTGTCATACTACTGCAAAACATGCCTTTTATTTTATGAAAATGTTTAATGCTTGAAGTGTGTTTACATATAATGACCTCAGAGTTTGGTACAGAATGTATTTTTATATGGTCAATAAACTTGAAATTACTTTTGTAGAAGTACATGAAAAAATGCACTGTTGTTAGAGCTGAAAACCATTATTAAACTTTGTTTATTGACTTGATATGTTTTTTTTTTCTGTATCATGATGTGTGTTTTATAGGTTTAACACATTACTTTGCTAAATAATGCTGAATAAAATTTTTTTTACAACAAATGTATTTTTGCATTTTATTATAATTTGGAATTAAAAGTATATTTCAGGAATCAGATAGACAACAAAAACATGTCTATTATGATCTCAATTGGGTAAATTTTTAGGCATACAGTGGAAGGAGCATTTTGAATTAACTGCTACTGTTTCTTGTATATGGTTTCTCTCCCGTTAACGGCTCCGGTGTCCGGGAGGAGGAGATGGAGGGCAGCAGACGGCGGTCTTTTCTTAGGCAATATGGTGTGTGTGCGTCTGTGATTCTCCCGCTGGAGTTTAATGTAATTATGGGATTACAGTCCTGCGCCTCTAAAGCCGGTAATATTTACTACACTGCCGCTCCGGTTCACGAGACCGATATAGCCTACAGTTCAAGGAATCACAGAAATATGAATTAACTGGAGGTTTCTTACTCGGTACGTGTTAGACAGAAGGTTGCTGCTTCGCTTTTCTGAGGATTGAAGGAATTATCTGGACTTTTGATGCGTCTTTTTGGAGTTAAACAAATGGAACGAGGAACGTCGAGCGCGTGGAAACGAGGAAAACTTTATTCCATTGAATCAGGAATTCAGTCATCCCACACAATCTGAAGCAATAAGGTTAGTAAAAACAGTTATTTAAAACATTATATATTGAGTATTGTGTTTCAAATAGATCAATGCCAAAATATAGAATACTTTGAACATCTTAGACAATGGAACATTATATATTTTTTCCTAGCAAATCTTTTTATCCAGCAAATCCCCATTAAAGAATCCATATATGCACGCAAAACAAATGCGTATTCTATGCACGCCAAAGTCAGTTTCTGCATATAAACAGCATGTAAAAAAAAAAATCGTTCTATTGATACGCATTTTCATGAGACCGGGCTCAAGCATGCAAACGTTTGCATGGAGAAAGTGCATGTAAATGTGTGCTTTTAAAATGAATTTGACTTTACATGTGTGCTTTTAAAATGAATTTGACTTTACATGTGTGCTTTTAAAATTTATTTGACATCACAGTGACCTGAAATAAAAAGCTAAATGTTGCACAAAAAAGTGACCAGTTCAGTGTACCGTAAATATACCTTCTCTTTTCAATTCAGATTAATTTAAAACCTAATATCTTGATGCTTGAATAAAAACATTTACCCATTTGTACTCCAGGAAGACTTGCATTTCACAGGATATTGCTGATATAAGACAGTTTATCCGACAAAGTCGGCATATCCGTTTTAAATATACCTGTAAGAGCATCAGTGTTTATTCTGACAGTAGTTTTGCACTGTTAACTGCATGTTTAACACATAAAAAAAATACAACAGCTAATGTATACATCAATTTGTTTTGACAGGATTCCTGGATGTCCTTGGATAAAACAGCATTTCTGCAAAAGTTCTGATTAGTAAAACAGCACTGTTTCATCGAGTACTCCGTGGTTATGTCTCTCTCTGCTTTACCGGAATGGAAGCAGCTGCTACTGGAGCGAAAGCGAAGAGAGGAGGAGGAGAGAGAGAGGCGAGAGAGGGAGGAAGAGGAGCGGCTTGCCAGCATGCCGGCTTGGAAGCGAGGGATCATCCAGAGAAGGAGGGCGAAGCAGGATGAGGAAAAAGAGAGGGAGAAAGAGAGAGATGGAGGACAGCATACTCCAGATATCCTGGGCATTACGGAGGACATCGTCACGGAGCAGGTGGACAGTAAATTCACACTTCACCTCCAGACTGACCACAAAATGCAAAAACAGATATCCAAAGAAACCATCAGCCCCATCCAACAGAGCCCCTTCATTCGTTCTGAGAACAGCTTTAAGAGAGATAACAGAGGGAAGGAGGTGATTAGAGATGGAGAGAATGAATATAAAAAGGCCACCAATAATAGAGGGAGAGAAAGAAATAAGGAAACTGAGAAGGAGATTTGGAGAGGACGCGACAGAGAGATGTGGGTCGAGAAGATGGGAAGTAAAAGTGAGGGAAGAGAGCGAGACAGAAGCACTGGGAGAGAAAGCTGGGAGGCAGACAGTAGCGCATCCCTATTTTCTCCGGTCGTAGGTCTTCGCACGATCCAGGCAAACAATATTATCATTATTGAGAAAGACAAAAATAGTAAGGAAAAACTGGATAAGGGAGAAAAGGAGGTTGAGGAGGAACAGAAAAGGATGAGGATGGATTTGAGGGAGTTTCTAGCTGACGGAGGAAGCGTGACGGAAATTGGGGCTTCAGAAGTACTGATCATCAAATCTCCAGTGACAGACGGGAGAAGGGAAACAAAAACGGCAGGGATCACAGAAAGAGGAAGTGAGCGTTTAGAGAAAGAGGGGATATGGTCCTCTATGCGAATGACATCGAGGACAGTCATGCAAAAAGCAGAGAGAGTCTTGAACCACAAGGACAGGGGGACTCCAGAGTGTAGTGGTCGGGTCAGTCAGCTGCTTAGTAAGTTCGGTGAACACCCAAAACCTCCAATGCGCTCCAAGAGCATTGAGGGCTTCAACCAACCAGGCAAGAACCGGGCCAGATACAGCACAGGAGACCTGTTTGTGCAGGAGGACCAGAGTACAGAGGAGACAGACACGAGTCCGACATTCAGGGGTGTACCCAAACGCTCCTTTAGCTTCTCTGACCGTGTGGTTTGCCAACAGGAGGCCAGAGATTGTGAGGAAAAGACAGATTTTAAGGTGGTGGAGAGGTCGTACTCTGACCGCAGGGTCAAAACCAGGGTCACCGATCAATCAGGAAATGAACCAAAGGTCACCGGGCGATGGGGT